AGTGTTCCCTGTCAAGAGTTCAGTTTTCATTGCTAGATTGCATTAGTGTTGGATGACGCGACGAAATTATTAGTGAGCCGGGGGCGGCCGAATATCCTCTGACATTGAACGAGCCGTCCGGATAATTTGTGGTTTGAGACGACCGAGGGGGTCCTTGCGGTGTTCACCATGATCTTTTCTGTTTTTTTTGTTCTTCCCTGGAGAGTCACTTAGCGGTTACTGGTCCGCTGCTGAACGCCGAATAGTCGCAATATGCAATCGAGGGGTTTGTCTTTAGAGTAGGTGGCGTGGGAGTAGATAGAGCAGCTGATGCTGTCAGAAACCGAACTGTGCTCTGAGCATTTCTCACCTTAAACTATTAGTCATGTGGCTGCACCTCTGGAACTTTCTCTTCACTTGGCTGTTCAACGTTTCCCCAAATCTGATAATGTTATCACACAGAGAATGATTCCATCAGTTTCAGTGCACGCCTGATCACGGTCTGTTCTGCAAATCTAGTAAACTGGATCGAATATTACTGTCACCTGCGCGGTTTAAATCGCCAACGCCTGGAGAAAATGAGACCAAAAGTCCTTATGCAGCCGAGTATGGGTGAGTAAAGTGTTTTACGCAATTTTCATCTATTTTTTCCGTTGATTCCTACTATTAGTAAGGGTATCAATTCTCTGGTGATCTTCCATTTCATTCATACATGATCTGCATAACCCAAAGGTTTTTTGGGTGGGAGGGGGTATTCGCCTTTGACCGCGTTTTGATGGCGACCTAAATGCCTTCTTATAGCGCGAACTTTGTTTTACCCCTATTTCACGATTAATGACCGTATAACGAGTGAAAGTGACTGCCATGGGACGTAGGAAGGACGCATTTAGGAAAAAGTAGTCTGTGTAACAAACTATCCTCCGATCGATCTTCCTGCACACTGACGTCCCTGGTTTTTATTTACTTTCTGCCCACTTGTCGCAAGTGTGCGTGTATTCGTTGAACAGTGCTCTGCTAAAGAATTCAGTGCACGAAAGGGACATGTACGAAGATTGTTCTGTCCTTGAAATGAGAAGAGATTGCGGTTAAGACCGCGGAATCCGAGTTTGCAATCACGCCTACCCAAGCTCTACCTCTGTGCCTAACTACTAAGGATGTACAGCGTTAAGTTGGTACTAGTTTTCCTCTTAAATACTCTGCGTTCGTTCAGTCGAACCGCGGGGCAGGGGGGCCCCAGTCAAGTCTCTACTCTCTATAATTTCTCTGTCCCGGGATATTGATAGGAGAAGACCTGAATCTCACTGTTGATCAGTAAATTGAAGTCCCAGAACTGTTTAAACCTTCTTGATTCCTATAAACACAGTGATCAACTGTGGATAGGGTTTGAGGGATAGCGTTCATATATGAAGCAGATGCGTCTGCGAGGGAAACAAAAACCTTAATATGGGCCCCTCTGCTCTGAGAACTGAACGAGTTGGCCGGAGCTCGGATGAATTTTCCGAGTTGCTTGTTTCGAAAGACGGACGGAACAATTGCAATTTGTCGCGTCATTGCGCGCGGCATATTGTGCGGCGAGCGGCAAGTTCTCGATGCATCAGTTTGTCGCTTGGAGCAGCAAAAGTAATATGAATTCAAGCGAAAACAAGACTCCATAACGGGATACCGGATTTTCCTGTTCCTCTCCCACTGGGGTCGAACGCAGGCACAACTCGTCCTTTCGCTTAAGTAGCCGGCACGAAAATTGTCAAGTTTTGATGAGTTCAACGAAAAGGTCCAAAAATTAACCGCATCAGAATTGAGCGGTTCGCAAGTGGGTCAGGCCGTGGTGCTTCTGAAGAGAGGCTCTATATCGCAACTCTTCAGCCGGCCGAAAACATGTGCCCTTACGCTGCGGAGGAAGTGGACTTGTTAGGCCAACGTAGAGAAATCTGCTCTTTCCATGCAAATTACAGAAAAAAAGATGTGATCAGTCTGATACCATACCAATTGTTCGAATCCGCCGGGAACTTTACGAAATCCTATCGCTCCAGGTTCGACATAGGCGATCGTGTTGTGGTCTCTGGTGGCAAGCAAGGTGTGGTACGATTCATCGGTGAAACAGAATTTGCCCAAGGTATTTGGGCAGGTATCGAACTAGAGCAGCCGTTAGGAAAAAATGATGGGAGTGTACAGGTGCGTTGTCATATGTTCCGATTTTATTGTCCTGTGTCTGGATTTCATGGCGATCATTTGTTTCGTGGTGTTTCTGATATGTTTCTACAGCTCTTATTATAGGGGAAAAGATATTTCACTTGTAAGTCGCCGTACGGAGTTTTTGTACCGGCCTCCAAGACCCAAAGAGCACCCTCTCAAACGCCCAACAGGGCAAAAGTAAGTTGTTCTTCTTTTGTTTTCTACTACTGAAATGTTTATTCAAATTGATTCTTAGGTCGTACATACGAAAACGTCCCTTTTACGGCAGAATCGAGGTCTGGGCGGAAGTCGTGAGTCATTGTCATCTATAGGAAGATCAAGTGTGGCTTCTTCGCGTTTCGGCGTTGTTCGTAAACCTCCGAATAACGTGGGTTCTGCATTTCATATTTTTCGAGTTAATTCA